AAAAAACTTTCAGTGGAAGTATAGGAAGGTTTATGATTTCTCTCCCTGGAAGTTCTGGTATTTTAGAAAACTGAGAATAAAGGCTGTGATGTCTTTTCTAATGTTTTCAATAACCTGAAAGTTAGAACAGGACAGTAAAGTGCCTTTCTCCATCTAGTCTCAAATTCCCAGAAGAAAATGCTGGCTCAGAGTTCATAACCCATCTGAACATAAGGCAGAGCTCTCCAGAGCAGGGTACTGTTGTTGGTGCCACATGAAATATTTCTGAGGAAACAGGAGAGTTTCCATGTCATCTGTTTTAACCTCAGACATTATCTATTCTATGTTCATCACATGAACATGCACCTTTTTGAAACAGCTGTTGACCACCACAATCTGGGTGGCCTCCAAAGGTGCTGGTGGGCTCACTGTAAGTGAGGCTAGGGGTAGCAGGCTGATGGATAAATAGACTATATTCTGCTGGAGCTGGTTTAGGCTTTGGGGAAGAGAAGGTACTTTGTTGACCTTATATCAGACACAGACACCAACTCTGTGACAAAGGGCCTGTGCTCTTAAAATGCAGGTAGAACATTTTGATGAGCATAGTAAAATATATATATATATATATATATATATATATATATATATATATATATACCTTTTGACATGGAAAAATAGCTTAGTCAGGAACCCCAATATACCCAAAGCTGTACCTGATAACCAGAACACAATGATATCACTTACTAAAGATAACCAAACACAGTCCTGGAGCTCAATGATGCCCACTGCAAGTATATCAGCAGAGACTAGGAACAATGTTCTGCTCTTCACAGCCAGATAAATGCCACTTTGATCTGTCCCATTGCTGGAGAGTTTCTCCCAGGATCCTGACTGTCAAATCAGAGATTTCTGTTAGAGACTGGACCTGTCCTTCAGCTAAGATACATTGCATTGGTGAGCAGCTTTGTGGAGATAGGCTTAGTATCATATTAGGAATATTGAGAGTGAACTTTGTGAAATGACCCTCAGCATAATAAAATATAGCTTTTGTGAGACTAACTATGATTATCTACCTTCTTGCTCAAGACAGGCATGGATAGAGCAAGCATTCCATCTTTTTAAAATATTTATTATTTTAATTTTTATTAATTACAGTTTATTCACTTTGTATCTCCCTGTACCTCCCTCTTCCCCTCCCAATCCCACTCTCTCTTCCTCTTCTCCCCTATGCCCCTCCCCAAGTCCACTGATGGGGAGTTCGTCCTCTCCTTCCCTCTGATCTTATATCAGGTCTCATCAGGATTGGCTGCATTGTCTTCCTCTGTGGCCTGGTAAGGCTTCTCCTCCCTTAGGGGGAGGTGATCAAAAAGCAGGCCAATCAGTTCATGTCAGAAGCAGTCCCTGTCCCAATTACTATGGGACCCACTTAGACACTGAGCTGCCATGGGTTACATCTGTGCAGGGGTTCTAGGTTATCTCCATGAATGGTCCTTTTTTGGAGTATTAGTCTCAGAAAAGATCCATGTGTTCAAATTTTATGGTTCTGTTGCTCTCCTTGTGGAGCTCCTGTCCTCTCCAATTGGTTAGCACTAGATACTTATACTGCAGTCCATCTGTTTAACACTCCAGAGAACTGTCCCTGTTTTGTAACACAGTGGGAACCAGTGTAGACTTTGGCAAGCTTGGGGTAATGGGGGCAAAGAGTGTCCAATACAAGGAGATTCTGAGATGCTGAGCTCAAGAATTCCTGCACATGCTAAGGAGCTAGGACAGTCAGAACAGGGCACAGGGCTGAGATAGGAGATGGTGGGGAAGCTGGGGGGAACTTGCTGAGCTGGAGGCTTCCTGGGTAGTCCATTCTGTGAACCCCCAATATGATCTCATGCACCTATCTAAGAACAGCTAGACACCAACATGCTGCATAGGCTGCAAATCTTAATGTTATCTCCCCTCATATGCAAAGGATGCTGCTTCTTCAAAGGGATTTAAAAAGATTGTGTACATGAAGATGAATGCAATGCCAATTGCAGCATACAAGACAAGTACTGTCTCTAAATATTAGCTTCAGGTTTATGCTGTCTGAAATAAAGTGGCTTTTCTTTTCTGTTTGTCTACTATTACAAACTGTTTTCCAGTCTGCAAGATATTGCATTATTCACAAAAGACACAGAAGAGTCTCTGAAAACATACTGTGATTCATACAAAAACCACATCAGGATGCTGGGGTCTTTTGTCTCCCAGTAATTGCATCCCTGGGGGAACATCTGCTGAATTACCTACTGGAGAGCCACTATAAAGCTACTGCTGTCCCTCAGGGAAAAGGGGCAGGGAGTATAGATGTTGATGTCAAAGGAGCACAATCCTGTCTTCCCTAGTGAAAAACAAAACAAAGCAAAACAAAACAAAACAAAACAGGTGGAGAGCTGCCTCAGATTTAAGGGAAGTTTGATTTGGGCAACTCACAGACTCAAGAGGAAAGATCACATTGATCCTTTGGCATCCATGGAACTTCATTCATTCAGTCAATGTGTTTTGAGTTCTTGGTAGACACTAGATCTCAGAGACCATGTTGGCTCATATGAAAAAGAGCAAGCACCAAGCTTTACACTTCCTACCTTCATGCAGATGGAGTGCAGCAGGACCATTCCCTGGAGCTACTATAGAAAAGATGCCAAAGGGAAGGTTCAAATCCAAAGCCAGAGGTCCAATCTCAGTGCAAAGTGGGGGTGTGGACAAGTTCCCAAAAGCCTCTTTGGAAGAGTTGGGCTTCATAAGGGATTTGCTACATTTCATGGATGGCAACTATTAAAGGCAAGGGCTCTGTGTTTTTTCTGAGTAAGAAGACTATGCATTAATCAAAATCCTGTTCTAGGCTGATGACAGAATCAGACATCGTTTGGGTATTGTTTTACTCCACTTTATCCTGCAAGGGCAACTGGCCCTTCAAATTGTGAAGTCATATGGCAAGGAGCCACAGGAATTATTGTTGGGAACCATGAAGGCACTCAGAGGCTTTCAAAAAGAGAACAGGTGACATGGGGATAAGGGAAAATGGAAAAGACCTTTCAGTGAAGTCAAGAATCTTTCCCTAAGTGAACTCATCCCCACCAAAAGACAACTATGAGCATCATCAAGCTAAACCACAGCAGACTGCTGCTCTGTAAGAAAATCAAAAGTACTTTAGTGAGGGTGAGGTGATTTCAAGTCAGCGCAGGTTTGCCTAAGGTGTGAGGAGGAGCCCCTCGAGCCCCTCAAAGGTGTACAAGCCAAAGGAAGGAATGAGAGAAACCTCAGAGAAAATAAAAGATGTGGTCAAAGTTTTGTGTTAACCCTGGATTCAGGAGTGCTGCTTCTCTAGCAAGAGGTCAGTGGGATCAAAGTTCAGGGAACTTTGTTAATGTCCAGGTGAAAACCTCTGTCTGGTCCAGGGCAATGGCTCCCCGGGTAAAGCAATGAGGACCTTAGTTCTGATCTCCACACTTAAAAGTCAGGCTGCAATCCCAGTGTTAGGGAGACTCTAGAAACTGCGACTGAATTCCTGGTGCTTTCTAGTCTAGTACAGCCACATTGTGGAAAACTGTTCTCAAAAGTCATAATGGTTGGAGAGCAATGGAAGCAGTGGAAGAAGGTGCTTTTGCCTGAAAGACTCTGGGTAGAGTCTCTTTAGACGGAGAGACCCTGCTTCCCAAGAATCAGCGAGACCAGCCTTCGGATGCAAGCCGCAAGAGGTTTATTTTGATACATGGGTACCCGGGGCGACAAAGCCTTTCGGAAGACCTGCGCGCCTCTCGGGCTCGGGAGCAAGAAGCACGGTTACAGAAGCGAGAAGCATAGTTACGGGGATCTGATTGGGGGATTTGAACAAAGCCATAGTTAGGTTACGTATTTGAAGCAGGGAAGGCGGGAAAGCAGATGTGAGCTAAGTCACGTAGCCGGTTCAGAGAAGGCGGGAAAGACTCCCGGTTCTTATCTTGGGTGTCCCAATTGTTTCAGGCGCCCAACCGCAGATACCCTGTTGTTGGACACCTGTCCTGCCCTGCCTCTGACCCTGCACTGCTTGTAAAATAGTGTTGCCAGCATTATGCTAGGGCTTTTTATTTTTTCATTGCCCACCTCGGGGCTACATCTGTTCAGAGGTCTACGTAGACACACAGACATGCACACTTGAGCACACACACATTCTACAATCACCTGTTCAGAGGTACACACACACAGGAAGACTCACGTTCATTTTCAAGAATAACTAAAATCCCAACTCCCTAGATGCTCTCCCATTGAGTAGGCCAGCATGGAGTTCAGCCTGTGAATATGGAGGCTGTTGGCATGGAATCCAAGCCTTCAGGGGGTTCTGCTCCAGAAACACCTGGTCATGGGTTTGAAACAAGGGTTGTAACAAGTTCCCCAGGTTTCCCTGAGAAGGAAACAGAGTAACAGACAGACTATGCAAATCTTGAACAGGGGTTGTGTCAAAGTATTTAAGGCAAGGGCTGAGCCATTATGGTTGACCAGCTGCAGAAGAGAACCTGTTGAAGACAGGGAGCTGCATGTGACTCAGCAAAGATTATTCTGGCAAGACACTTTGGTCATTCTGGCGACACCAGGACTTCTGCCTATAAATAAGACAACGCAGTCCATGATGGGGGCTGTCTATGACAGGGGCCTAGATCCCTCCACTGTTTCTCAAGGAGACCTTGGGCACCTCTGCAGCCAGGTCTGGCTGAGACACATAATTGGTGATGACCCTGTGCAAAGTCACAATGGGCGCACCTCCCCAGTGCACTGGGAGCTAGAAGCTTCCCAGTCACAGCAGTGCAGAGCGCCTGCGCAGAGGGCCCAAGGCGACCCCCGCCTCCTCCCTTCTGTCCCTCGCCCCCCTGCTCCTCGACCTCCGCCACGCGCGTTCACGCGAGCCTGTCCACGCGCTCGCATGGGATTCACCTAGCTCAACCCCTGTCTGTGCTGCCAAGCTAGCCAGGGAGCGTGAGTGAGCGCGGGCGGCCAGGAGGGCGGGGACCGCACGAGGTCCACTCGTGGGCTGTGCGGAGGCGAGGGCTGCAGGCTCTGTGCTCCAAGCTCCAGGCGGCGGAAGCGACGCCTCCAATCAGGCAGCGGGCTCGCGACCCTCCGCGCGACCAGCCAGCACTGCCCGCCCCGCGGACTGACTGACGCGCCGGCTCGCCTCCGCCCCCGCGCCTGTCTCCGCCTAGTCTACCCCGGCTGGGCTCAGGCTCCGCTGCGCTTGGCTGCAGCCCTTGCCAGGCCCTTTCCCTGTCCGCTGCAGCTTCTGAGGCCGGCTTGCTTGCTAGGCAGCTATAAGTGATCTCCAAGGCAGGGCCAAGGATGAAGTGCAAGCCTAACCAGACGCGGACCTACGACCCTGAAGGCTTCAAGAAGCGCGCTGCGTGCCTGTGCTTCCGCAGCGAGCGCGAGGAGGAGGTGTTGCTGGTGAGCAGCAGCCGCTACCCCGACCGCTGGATCGTGCCGGGAGGGGGCATGGAGCCCGAGGAGGAGCCGGACGGCGCGGCGGTGCGCGAGGTGTTTGAGGAGGCAGGAGTCAAGGGGAAGTTGGGCCGCCTCTTGGGCGTCTTTGAGCAGAACCAGGATCGCAAGCACCGGACCTATGTGTTCGTGCTCACCGTCACCGAGCTGCTGGAGGATTGGGAAGACTCGGTCAGCATCGGCAGGAAGCGAGAGTGGTTCAAGATCGAGGATGCCATCAAGGTCCTGCAGTGCCACAAGCCCGTGCATGCCGAGTACCTGGAGAGACTGAAGCTGGGCGGCTCCCCTACCAACGGGAACTCGGGTGCCCGGTCCCTGCCAGAGAGCGAGCCCTAGTATGTATGGCTCTTGCTCCTGCTGCTGCTCCCGCCAGGACTCTTCCCTACCAGGAGAGCACCTCTCCTGCCCTGTGTGCCTGCAAGGGCAGGAGGGAGGCTTCTTTTGTTTCCTTGGCAGGCAGACCTCTGAATAACGCTTGCAAATTGTCTAGGTTGCCAGGCGCTGTTTGCAGACACTTTGCACGTTTTTCAGATGCTTTTCCAATCGCTTCTTGGTGACACTGTAAAAATCTTGCGCTCAGCGGGAGCTGCATGGGATTTCGTGAAAGGTGCCTTAACTGCTTGCCCTGCTCTTCATGGAGGGTGTGCGTGTGCGTGTGCGTGATCGCGTGTCAATATGTGCGTGCCTGCTTGTCTGCTCTGTGATGTTTTTGTTTGGGTTTTTTCTTTTTTCTTTAAACAGCCCTTACATGTGTTTGTGCGTGAGTTTGCGTGCGCGCTTTTGATGTCAGGCTTCTGGTTTCTTAGTGGAGGGGCCTTTAGAGTCCTACAAACTGGTGAGGGGGCGAGCGTTTCTGGATTTTGGGGGGATATCTTTTTATCTTATTTTTTATTTCCTCATTCACAGCTTTGGTTCTTGGCAGTGAGCCATTCTTGGTAGACATTTACTTAGATGATTTGTTTGAAAATAAAAGAAGAAATAGAAAAATTGGAGATCTTATACCTTTTTCTTTCTTCAATACAGTACTTTTAGCATCCATAATGTCATCTAATAGGCTCAGGGTAGGAACTCCGTGTTTATTGATATGACCAAAAAACATTGTAATTTTCAAGAAAATTTTACAGTTGATTTTTTACTACTGATTTAAAGGTCCAAATTCGTATGTCATTTTCAAGCCATTACAGGGACAGAATGAGTATTTTTAGACTTTCTAATAAGATACTTCTTGTCGGGGTAATTGTGTTTATACAATTGTTTTAGCCTGCTCATCCAGCAGTTTCCAACTACAGGTACCTTTCTGGATACTCCTTAAAATGTTTTTTCCCCCTCAGTGTACATTTATTTGAAGGAAAGGGATTTATACTTGAATTTAGTGATATCCCAGTTCAAATTCCCTGAGCCTCAGTAACTGCTGGAATGGAATATTTTATGGTGATTGCATATTTGCAATCATCATTTAAATAATTTGAATGAGTTTATGTTCTTGCTGTTCAGCTGGTAACATACTTCTATCTCATAGATCCAGAGTAAAGGTTTCCTTTCTTAAACCTTTTGCTTGCTATATTGCTGTTGCTCTTACCTTGATACTCTTTTGAAATGCGGAGTTATCTCTGAAGTATGTCATTCTCTCTTCTGAAACTCCTCAGGTTCCTTGCCATGTCTCTTTATATATATATAGAAATAAGACATTTCTTAAGATTGGAAAGATCATTCCATATTTAACAAAAGTATTTTAATGAGACGTATTAGATGGCAATAATGAATATACTTGGGGACCATGTAAAAGTCTTAAAATCACTTGAATTGGAGCTATTTACTTTTTATTATTAACTTATTTTGGGGGAAAATTCATAGAAAAATCTTTTGATCGTACTTTTTCCCTTCCCCAAGCCTTCCCAGATTCTCTTCACCCCCATCCTACACCCATCTTTGTGTTCTTTCTTGCTTGCTCAAAGACAAAACCAAGGAAACAAATAAAAACTACAAAAGGACATACAGCAAAAGTGCAAGGAAATAAGCTTACAAAATAACATGGAGTCTGTTTTGTGTTAGTCAAATTCCTGAGCATGAGGCCTATCCTGGAGTTAAGCTGATATACCTTGTATCACTCCATCAGAGAAAAAATGATTTTCTCTCTCCCAGCAAGTATCAATTGCAAATAGCTTCTTGGTTAGGGGTGGAACTTTGTACTCACTTCCCCTTCTCGGTGCTGGGATTTAGTCTGGCTTGCAGGCCTTATACATGCTGTCACAGGCTCTGTGCACTTATATTCATCAGTCCTGCTGTGTCTGAAAATTGCTGTTTCTTTGGTGTCATATACCACTTCTTCCTCTAAAGTCTTTCCATGTCGTTTTCTCCAGAGCTTTCTGAGCTTTGAGGAGGGGCATTTGATAAAGATATCCCATTTCATTGCTCTCAAATTATGTTTTTAAAACATAACTATGGTTAAAACTTTAATGGGCCATGATCTTATGAAAAAAATGGTTTTTCATTTCATTCATGTACAAATCAGTATGTAAATCAATTTGTACTTCATAAACACATGAAGAACATTAGTATCCAGCTCCTGAAATTCACACTTTCTTTTTATAAAACCAAAGCCTTTATGTTTGTCCTTATCACTACACTGGGCTTCTTCTGTCTTTTAATACCAAAGATTATTTTGGCTTTGAACTGTATGTATACTGGTTCTTCTCGCCTGTTTGTGTGATTTATGTTCAGGGCATTCAAATGTTTTTCATTTGGCTTGAATTATTTCAAAATTAAGACTGTTTTAAGCTTTTAAATGTGGGGTTCTTGTATTTTTCTGAAGAAATGTTGTTTCCCTTTACGAAAAAAAAATTTTCACATTTAAAATATAAACCCCAATTTCCAAAATGTATTTTGACCTCTCACCAAAGGAAAGAGTATATGACTAATCTGAAGCACTTATTTTATTTCCAATCAAAATGACTTTTGCTAAATTTTCTAATTCTGCAACTTAATCTTCATCAACCTTAAGTTCTACATTGATATAGCAGAATAAATTTGGTTTTACGGATTTTTTTTTTATAAAAACCTTAGGAATGCTGTCAGAAATGCATTGGAGGCTTTACTTGTAATTGCCATTAACTAGAGTCAGCAATGTGTCATCCTTTAATATCGTACTTATTTGTGCCTGTGCACTCAAGTGCACAAGCACCCCCTCCTGTACACACATGCATGTGTTTGTGTGGGTGGGAGAATTCTATTGTATAGCTGTAGAGGTAAGAACTGTTGCCTATGAATATACTGTGACTTTTCCCCTTTTAAAAAATACTGGGTTTCTTTAGGGTTGGGTTTCTCCATTATTGAATTTTAAATTTTAATATTAATAAATTAACTAATATTAAATTGATATTTAATTATTATGAAACAGATATGTCAGAGAAATTACACACTCCTAGGGAATTATTTTTATCTTCAAGATTTTGTCAGTAGTACCAGATTTAAATAGGTTACCATAGATAGTGTATTAATTTCTACCAGTCTTCCAAAAACTGTTCAACACCTGGGTATTTTTTCCTACTGAGAGTGCTAAGTCATTTACATAGTATTTATAATTACACTAATATATACAGCCAAATTTTTCATTCATCTTTCAGTTGAAAAGGGAACAGTACTCCATCAGACAATTGGGATTTGTAGATATGAATTAGAAATCTATTTCCCATACATTATATACATAGCTTTCATTGTCCATTTTCATTTGTGCACATGTTTTATTGGTAAGTAGGGATTTTTTTTCCCCTGGGCCTCATGCATGCTGAACATGTACTAGACCACTGAGCTCCACTCACAGCTCCATGATAAAATGTTTTTGCTTTTTCAGATGTTCAAAGAGGAAACATGTTAACACAGGTTTATGATTATGTAGGTTTGGATGTATGCCAAAAAACATATAGTCTTGTCTATACTTTAAAGAAACTAACTAAAAACAGGAAATTGAGTTTTAAAATCCATTTGCTGTATTGCTTTGTATATATTGATTTTAGATTATTAATATAAAAGGTTTTTCATTGAACAGTATGGGTGCACTTACAAAGGTTTCTATAAGAATGCCTGATAGGATGTAGATGAGAATATTCCCTGGCCAGAATTTTATCTTCAGGCTTAAAATTCCCCTGGTAGCCATCTCATGCAATGTATTTAAGCATTTTTGAGCAGACAGATCTATGAGAACTCAGTATGTCCACGTGATGTTTTGTTGTTGTTGTTGTTTTGGTTTGGTTTTGTTTTTGTTTTGTTTTTTGAGACCAGGAGGTGATAAGAAACTACACTGGGACTTGGAAGCCAAACCCAATAGTAGTTTTTAAATTGAAATGTCATCCATGTTACCAATCATGCATGTTCTCAGGTTTTCTCTTAAATCTGTCATTGTAAATGATACAGATAAATACTGCTTAAACATCTCCAATGAGATACTCTTTTTAACTGGGCTAAGTCACACTTATGTGTAATGGTTAAAAGTTTACTGCAATACTGTGTGGCCACTAGACTGAATTATTCCTATAAATATAGTCTCTAGTCTAAAAAGTAGAATTTATACTTTTTTGCATCTGCATTGCTAATTCCCCTCTATTATCACCGTTTTCACAATTTTTATAGGTAGGTGTATTTGCGTGCGCACAAGTGTGTGTGTGTGTGTGTGTGTGTGTGCGTGTGTATTCATGTTCACATTGCACTTGCTTTAGAGCCTGCAAGGGCTTTTGAAAGACCTCGTGATTGGTGCACCTAGTCTATCACTAATAACTTTGTGGTCGAAAGAACTGTAAATATATACCTTTTAAATGTATGTTTGTTTCTTTTTTCCAGATGAACAGAGAAACCATGTTCAAGATTACACCGAAATCATCATGGATGTGAATCCAGTATTTAGTGGTATTGTCAAGTTCACGGGAGCATTTTAAGGTTCCCAAGGAGACCACTCATCTGGTTTTCCTGCTACACCTTGGAACACTCCTCTGTCTTATTTACCAACGTTTTTGCTCTGGTTGTTGTACTCTTGTATGTGAACAGACTTAATTCAACACCTATAGCCTTTTGTTGTGCATTTCTGATGTGTTTGCCTTCTTCATTAGACTATTACCTTTGAGAGCAACTACTATTTTTCCTTACTCTGCATATTCTGCATCCAAGACACTACTTGAAATATGTTTGGCATCACTGGAGGTCTCTGATTCAATTAATATTTTGTAATCTCTTTGTGGCAAAACATTTCCTTTCCAATCTGGTGCTAGTAGAGTATCTGCTGTCTGAGCACCATGTGTGTGGCTCATGTGTAATAGGTGTTTCACAAGCATTTCAGGACAGTTGAAAGCATTCAAGGACAAGAATTAGTACTCATTTATATGTCACATCACACAATGGCTGGCACAGTTTTAATATTATGCCATCACTTAAGCTAACACTTGATAGAACTAGTCCTTCATGTAACAACTTTCATGTTTTTGTACTGTTGTTAATTTGCTTAAAATTTTATTCAAAAATATCACTTGCTATAAAGGTAATTGTAAAAACACTACAATGAAAACTTATTATTGTGAGTTTTTATAAAAATAAATTTTAAAATAATATACAAATAATACATTTAATTTTTTGCAATGCTCTACTTCTTAAATGTCATCTTAACATTTCCTTGCAGAAAATTCTCCGTATTTTCTTTATATAGATTCAATATTCTGTGTTATTTGATGGTGAGCACGAAGAAAACTGCTACTCAAGCAGTTTTCAGAGCTAATTATGCCGTTTATTTAAGCAAACTTAAGTGTCTTTTGCCTCTCTTCACTATTTCAGTTGGCTGTGGTTTTCATTCCTTTCCTAGTGCACTCAGCTGGCTTCTCAGTATCACAAGCTTTCTGCATGTAAAAATGCAGAGAGTATTGAGAGTGCTAAATTGGTGTCACTTAGAAAGGCTTCAGGGAAAGAAACTGCTGTAAAGGGGAACACAAAACAGAGAATTTAAATGAGGGAGTTTGGTTCAACTCTTTCCAAAAGAATAACTTTATGACAAGGAAAAGGACATTTCACAGAGTTTTGCCACAGGGTATGTGATGTCAGTACTCTTACTCAGCTCATTACAAGTGGTTCAAAGAGGTTCTAATATGGTTGTTGTATTTCACTTTTTCCTTATAAACCATTATATTGGGAAAGGCTTGAATTCCAATTTAGTGTTAACACCCTCATGGTACCGGTGAAATGTATTGTGTCCCCACATCTTACAGATATTAAAATAAAACCACACGTTGTAATTTATTGGAGTTTCTATTTGTGATATGTACTGTGATTTTGCTTTCTAAAGAAACCCTTATCTTTTAGAAAACTGTACTGAAAATTTACAAGTATGCTGTTTTTTGCTTCAATATAATCAGGGTGGTAGAAGTTTGTACATAGATGAAACAAGATTGGCTCTGACTTGATGATTGTTGAAGCTCTGTGATAGATGTTTGAGAATTCATTCTCTCTACTTTTGTATATGTTTGAAATTTTCCATAATAAAAATTGCAAAAATTTATTCCTTAGAGTTTACTTATATGGCACCTCTCTGTTTTTAGAATTTAAGTGTGGATGGATGGTCAGAATAATAATTCGCATGTTTGCTAACTGCCTAATGTGCATGTTGCTAACTGCCTGATTCTTTCCTAGATTTTTTTTCTTTGTATGCAGTATGCAATATGTAAGCAGGGACATAAGCTAAAGTGCAGATGGAAGAACACTTCATTTTACAATATCCTTTTAAAAATGTGTGTGTGTTTGTGTGTGTGTATGCATGTACCCACTGCATGATGTCACCACATCCCCTGAAACTGCAGTTAAGGATACTTGTAAGCTACCTTATGGGTGCTTAGAACCCAACCCAAGTCCTTTGCAAGAACAGCAAGTACTCTTAACTGCTGAACCATCTCTCTAGCCCCACAATTTTCTTTGAAAATACCATGTTCTAATTCTTAAGATTCTGAAAATGAAAAAAATGTGTAAAAATCATACATGATCCCTTTTCCCAAAGATAACCAAGCTTAAAAAAAAACAAACAAACCTAAGTTTCGGTCTTGTTTCTTTGCATATATATTATAAACATATAATATCTATATTATACACACACCAGAATATTTCCCCAAAGTCCATGTTTTTACTTTAATCACATGCCACATAGTCACCTTAGAATTTTTTTAGGCTACTGCTTAGGGTTATTATCAAATTTGTGCTACTTCTGGCATGCATAAGCACAGAAAGCAGAACATAAAACTTGGGTCTAAACTCTAGACACAACTCATTTATCAAGTCCTGGTGCAAGACAAAATAGGTCTGTTTTACTGTGTGTGTGAGTGTGTGTGTTTGTTTCCTAATATTCTTACATACCAAGCTCTGAAGCCACGGATCTTGAAGTGATAAGTTTAGATGGTGTGACAGCTAATGTCAATTATCAGCTTAGAATCATCTGGGAATTGGGCCTCTGGACATGTCTGTGGGGATTTGCATTGTTAGGTTAACTGAGGCAGGAAAACCTGCCCACTGTGTGTGGCCATTCCTTGGTTGAAATTCTGGCCTATGTAAGTGTACAAAGTTGAGCACCAGCAAGCATTCATTCCTGTCTGGCTCTTGGTTTTGGGTGTCATAGCACTAACAGCTTCAAACTCCTGCTGCCCTGTTGCCCCCATTATGATGCAACTATACCCTTGAAGTATCAACTGAAATAAAACCTCTCTCCTTTGTGTTGTTTTGCTGTTTTTAATTTTTTTTAAAAAAAACTTTAAAGTTTTTTATCGTGATGACAGGAAAAGTAACTAGGACAAGGCTCTCTGATTGGCTCTGAATAGGCCTCAGATACATAGCCTTATCTGTTTTACAGGATGTTCATTTTCTCTATCCATCTGTGATATCATTTTGTAGCCTAGGACCTTGATTTGGTTGCTAGTCAGACAGTTGTATCTAATGGGTAAACAAGGCTACCTCCTACAGTGGACTAGGGGAAGCACTGTTCTCTGCCTTTTCTCTTTTAACCCTTAATGTGCCCTCACTCTTAATTTCCTATAGCACATCAGATTCCACTCTGTGATCTTAATGAGATTTTAGCAAAGATGGCAAAATTATGTAAAGGAAATATAATTAAAACCTGGAGCTTAGTGAGATGATGTGAAGGGGAAGACACTACCAAACTTGCAACCTTAGTTTGATCCCCACAATCTACATGATGGAAGTAGAAAACTCCTTCACAACCTATGACCACCACACATTCACCTGTGGCACTAGGAAACACACACACACTCACTCACTCACTCACAGAGTAAGTGAATAAGTTCTTAAAATGTAATTTATGCCTAGCATATATAAAATATATGCTAGAAGGGTAAGTCAGGTATTTTCTAGATCCAGGCCTAGACTTGTTTTTTAATACAAGCTGACATCAAATGGCTAGCAAAAGTTTTTTTTTTTTCCAACTGAAGCAGCAAGCCTAGAAAACACACCAGTCTGCAGTAGGTCCTTTGCACACATATTAAGATTTCCAGTTTAATGTTTTTCTGGTATTACTGAGTGTGTGAATGAGATATCTCTGACTTTTGTGCTTTTTCTTGGGCTCTTTTCCTTTTCTTTGTTTTGTCTAACTCTGATGTGATAGCTTATGTTTCTTCCTATATTTTGTTATGTATATTTTAAAACAAAAGATTGAATGTAAATCTAGCCACTAGAGTAAAGGTTAACAACTGAACAGTTACTAATACCTGCTGTGAGACAAAATAATCAGTTTTCTCCAATTGAGTGGCACCATGTATGCCAACCACTTCAGTAGTCCTTGGCCAATATATAATGGACTCTACAGCTTTTGGTGTGGCTTTATTTGGTTACAGTTTGGTGTTTTGTTTTTGTTTTTTGTTTTCGGGTATGGTTTTATTTTATTTTCTTGTTTTTTTTTTGTTATTGTTGCTGTATTGGGTTTTTGTTTTTTGAGAAAGAACTTACTGTTAAGTGGGTAGGGAAGAGAAGAGGATGTGGAAAAACTTGGGGGAGGGAAGAATCTAATCAAAATATATTTAAATTCCCAATTATTTTAAATAATAAAACACTGTTTTTAAAATAATTTAAAAATAAAATTGTTTGAATTAATTAAAATTAATTATAATAAATGTTGCTCCAATGTAAGATTTTAATAGGGTGAAGTGGGTAGAAGGTTTATGGGATCTCTGTACTGCTTTCTTGATTTTTATGTGAATCAAAAACTTGTTCAAAAAAAATAAAGTCCATTTAAAAGTTTCTAAGGGGGTAAAAGAAAAGATACATTCCTCTAACATTTGTCACTATCAAAAATGGATAGTCTGAAGTTTCATGTTATAGGCATGGTAGCTTTCATGACTTCAAAGCAGAGAAACCTGCTTCCTGAACTCAACTCTCTAGCACCTGAGCTACTCAGACTTATAGCTTCTGAAAAGAATGTCTACCTGAAGTCCATGGAGGGACTCAAAGGGTTAATTATGAAGATGGAAATCCAGTTTAATCTTACGTAAAAGCTTGTGCACTTTGGATGAAGATGATGAACAAGACTGACAAAATATGGTGAACAATGTTGCTCATCTTTCTGAGACAGTAAACATTGGAGGAGGGTATCTTTTTTTTAAGAAGACTGATAAAAAACACTGTCTAGCCAGATCTGTCTAGCCAGATATTCATGGCAATATGAAGAAGCATGCCAGAATGAATGGTAGTTTAGAATTATTTGGACCAGTGCTGAGGGGACAAAGGAGGACTCTGAGCAGAACTGATTTAAAAAAAAAAAAGTTTCCTTTAGTTTACCCAGTGAAACTTTTGTGGATGCCACAAAGAAAACTTAGAAGACTGCAAAAGCCATTCTGAGTAGGTGGCTCTATTACATCATCATGATACCTTGTTAACATTTTAAAAATTTATTACTAAATTTTATTAGCTTGAAATCATTATACAGATAAATGGAATACAGTATAGTATGTTGATACACAAATCCAGCGTGTGATGATCAAATCAGGGCAATTAGAATCTCTTCCTCCATATAAGTTATTGTATCTTAAAAGGCAGAAGTAAGCTGGGAGAGGTGGAGCATGCCTGTAATCCCAGCACTCAGGAAGGCAGAAGCAGGTGTTTTGCTGTGAGTTCGAGGCCAGCCTGGTCTACAGGACAGCCAAGGCTACACAAAGAAACACATTAGTCAAGTACAGATGACAAAAATGAGGCTCAACAAGGTTATGTAAAATGAGTCATTCTCAATAAGTAACAAAGGTGGAACTGAGTACCAGATATGACGATTGCTAATGTTGCTCTATCACAACACAAAACCGACTGCTTTTGTTCACATTTTTAAAAATTGTTTTTTGAGACAGGGTTTCCCTGTGTAGCCTTAGCTGTCCTAGACTCACTTTGTAGTCAGAACTGGCCTGGAACTCACAGAGATCCACCTGCCTCTGGCTCCCTAGGCACTGGGATTACAGGCGTGAGCAACTATACCTTGTAATGGAAGTTTTGGTTTCTTTGTAAACTCAGTCATGTTA